TGTGATTGGCACAGGACAGAGCAGAGTTTAGGGCCGTTGTACATAGGATTGCTATGAGTCGCAAGCGACTCAACGGCACATAACAACAGCAGCAGTATGCCCAAAGTATGTGAGCTGAAGCCTCATCGTCCTTGCCTCCAAAGAGCACCTCTGGCAGCACCCTCTCCAAGACATAGCTATTCGTTTTCTTGGCCATCCATGGCATGTTCAGTGCCCTTCTCCAACACCGCAGCTCAAAGGCATCAATTCTTCTGTCATCCCTCTTCATTGTCCAGCTCTCAGATCCATAGCAAGTGATCGGAAAGACCATGGCCTTTCCTTTAGTAGTAGAGAAATGTTTTCAGAAAACTTCACCATGCCATCAGCCATCGACATCACTGTATTTTGCATCTTCATATCTACATTGGCTTTTCTTGTTTCCAGAACTTGTTTAAAAGAGTATTTTAATAAAAGTTGCTCTACCTAGGAATGTGCTTGTCAGTAGGATGATGGAGTTTATTCTTTGGCAGAAAAGACTTCCAGGCCTGGGGAATGTTTTATGGGAGAGCTTGAAAGTCTTTTAAGGATGTTTATAAGGTTCTAGCCCAAACATTTATATAAATAACTTTCAGAAAAGAACTAGTACATTTTCCCTCCCATTTAACATCTTGCTTTTAGGAGATTAAGTTAGTATAAACTCTTACCGTCCCAGATCAATTCCTCCTTGTTGGATGCCTTGAATTTCCAGATGGAACTCATTTTTACATGCCCGTCTTCCTCTAATGCAGACAGGAGTTGAGGCAGTTTTAGTGTGATTGGTGTTGTGGCTGGATTGGTCATAAACAAAGGAAGCAGGGTACTCGAGCTGTCTCTGTTTCTTTCAGTCTTATGATGCTTGGAACTAGAGATTTCTAGGAATGTAGGGAGAGGAAGCTGGAGCCCTCTGCTTTGTTCCTGAGAGTGTGCCTTTTCTCTTTGTTCCTTGTTACTGGTGCTCCGTGATGGGACAGGGAAGAGGGAAAGGGGAGGAGTGAGCCTTTGCTGAGCTGCTCTGTAACAAGACAGACATAACAAGTAGGATTTACAGGGAGGAGGGAGGAGGTTGCATCCCTGCCAGGGGGCAGAGGACATGTATGTATGAGGAGCCAATGAGTTCTGTCTGCCCAGCAGGAAGTACAAGATATGATCAGGTCTCCTTCAATAATGTCAGTTGTCTTCAAGACCTGACTCCACAACAGCTCCTGTTGTTGTTAGGTGTTGTAGGGTCAACTACGACTCATAGCGACCCTATAAGACCCCATGGACCTGAACCATGTGCTATGCTGTGCCATTCTCATCATCTGATATACTTAACCTGTTGTTACAGTCACTGTACCAGTCATCTCGTTGAGGATCTTTCTCTTTTTCGCTGACCCTCCACCTTTCCAAGCATGATGTCCCTCTCCAAGGACCAGCCTCTCCTAATAACATGCCTAAAATATATGAGACAGTCTATGTGAGGGGCCTCCAAGGAGTACACTGGCAGCACCTTCTTCAAGACATATTTATTTGTTCTCAGAGCAGTTCATGAGATTTTCAGTATTCTTTTCCAACTCCACAATTCAAAGGTATCAAATCTTCTGCTGTCATCTTCAGTCACAATCCAACTTCCAGATGCATAACAAGTGATTGAAAAGATCGTGGTTTGAATCAGATGTACCTTGGTCTTTACACTGATGTCATTGCTCTGTAACACCTTAGAAAGATCCTTGGCAGCATATAGCTTTTGATTTCTTGCCTGCTTGTGCCAAGGGTGTGGACTTTGGATCCAAGCAAGATGAAATTGCTGACAACTTCAGTCATCTCTCCATCTGTCTTGATGTTGCCTGTTGGCCAAGTGGTGAGGATTTTTGTCTTCACTCTCTTCCTTCATTCTCAATATTTCTTCCTTCCCCAACAAGTGCTACCCTTTCCATTTCTTAGGGACACTCACTAATTCAAGGCCTCAGACTTGGTCTCTATTTTTTCAGAAGATGGGACCAGAAAGCCAGCATGGTTAACTTAGCAACTCACTGTCTGTCTTAATTACTTAGTGATACTCTAATAACAACAAAATACCACAAGTGAGTTGCTTTAAACAATAGAAGTTTATTTCTCCTGTTTTGGAGCCTGGAAGTCCAAATCAAGCATGAACTTGAGAGGAAGGTCCTCCTTTGTCAGTAGCCCTGTATGTCCTTGCTTTGTAGATGCTTCTACCCCTTATCTCTTCCCACTGTATATGCCTTAATATGTGACCTTATGCACCTTAGTATGCACCTTAGTCTTTAAATGGACATCCTTGCTCTTTAGAATTTTTGAGAGGACATTGACAACAGTCTGGGCTGCATTTTATATAAGACAGCATTCAAAAAGGGACCCACCCAACACATATGGTCACAATAACATAATGAAAAAAAAACCCACTAATTCCAAACAAGTTCCTATTTACAGAGGTTTAAGATTTCACTGTAATTTTGTTTTATTTTAAAAATAACATTTTTATTACCTTTTTTTTAAATTACTTTTTTGGTAATCATAGAAGAACACAGATAAGCAAGAGTTAAAAATATTCTTTGTAATCTCATCTTCAGTAATACACACACACACACACACGTGTACATTTTTAAAATATACACATTGTTGTTTGTTGTTAGGTGTCATCAAGTTGAATAAGATTCAAAGCCGTCCTATGAACAACACCTCTGAACCTTGCCCCATCCTGTGCCATCCTCATCATCTCTGACCTGCTGAAGGCCATTATTCCACTCACTGTGTCAGTCCATCTGGTTGAGGGTCTTCCTCTCTTTCTTTGACCTTCCACCTTTCCCAGAATGCTGTCTCTCCAAGGACTGATTCCTCCTGAAAAAAATGTTCAACATTATGAGACAAAGTTTCACCATTCTTACTCTATACCCTTTAATACTCTTCTCCAGCACAGTTCAAAGGCATCAATTCTTCCTCTGTCATCAAGAAACAATTGAAAATACCATTACACCTTAGTGTGTAAATGGATATCCTTGCTCTTTAACACTTTGGAGCCCTCTTTGACGGCAGACTTCCTCAGTACATCATAACATGTCTTTTGATTTCTTGACTGCTCCGATTGTGAGTGTTGATTGTGGGTTCAAGCAAATTTCATTTGTTGAAAACATCAGTCTTTTCTCCATCTATCTTAAAGTTGCTTATTGGTCCAGAAGTGGTGAGGATTTTTGTTTTCTTGATGTTGAGATGTAACAAAGACTCAGGTGCACCTTGGTCTTTAAACAGACATCCTTGCTTTTTAGAATTTTGGAGAGGACATTGACAACAGAATTCTCCAATGCAACAAACACATTTTTTTAAATTTATTGAATGCTGTGTATATACACAAACACATTCACATGTACACAAAGATTATAGCCTTCAGTCTGACAGCAATGAGTTGAGATTTTTATATAAATGAACATATATATATATGCGTGTGTGTGTGTGTGTTTATATATAAACCACTATTGTTGAATTGATTCTGACTCATCGTGGTCCTCCATCAGTTTCTGAGACTATAAATCTTTATGGAAGGAGACTTACTGTTTCCCAAAGATTGGCTAGTAGATTTTACAACTGACCTTTTATGGTTAGCAGTAAAACACATAATACACTGGGGCCAGAACTTCATATATTTGTGTATGTGTATAAGTAAATCTATATATAGAGATCTATATACATACAGAGAGAGAGCAAGCTCTCATGGCTTATGGTAAGGAATTGTGCTACCCACCCAAAGACAGATGGTTCAAATCCACCAGCTGCTCCATAGACAAAGGATGGTCAACCCAAAGCAGACCTTCCAGTGGGGTTTCAGAGGCATGAGAGGAGACTGCCCATGTTTCTCCCATAGAGCAACTGGTGGACATGCACACACACACACACAGAGTTTTATTAATCAACATAACTTTGGAAAGTACACATTTCAACTCACAGTTGTTCTACTTCTGCTAACCCTTTGGAAATAGAACTCAGGTGACCTAGTCTGTAGGGATTTGAGCTGCTAACTCAAACGGCCTGTTGGTGGTATGAATACATCACCTGTTCCAAAGAAGAACGTTGGGAAATCTCTCATGCAGTTTACAGGCTCAGGAACCCAGGGGAGGGTCTGCTACGAATCGGGTTCTGATTCAACAGCAATGAGGTTGGAAATAGTCTTTGAAGATGTAATCAAGTTCAGTAACTTGCAGTCATACTGGGGTCAGGTGGATTTTAATCCAATGTAAGTAGTGCCTGTGTAAAAGGAGAAGAGGCAGAACAAGGATGCATGCAGAGGGAGGACAGTCGTTGAAGATAGAGGCAGAAACTGGTGAAATGTAGGTAAAAGAGGACCAAGACTCTCCAGCCATCAGCAGAACCTTGGAGAGAGGAGCAGAGGTGGGGAAGCGGAGATTCAAGCCTGGCTCCGTGAGCCCGCAGGCCCTGCTTCTTTCTGAGGCCATACACGCTGATGTGCTCGTGGTCCAGGAATGCTGTTTATGTGGGCATCTTAAGGTATGTTTTCATCCAGGGTCAAGTTTCAAAACACAGAAAGCTGATGTGGGATCTAAATGTCCCGATGGTATATTGAATCAATAAAGATTTTATTCTCTCTTTAGATATGGCAGATTTTCGGAAGGTTTTTGCAAAAGCAAAGCACATAGTCATCCTGACCGGGGCTGGTGTTAGTGCGGAAAGTGGGGTGCCGACTTTCAGAGGAGCTGGCGGGTATTGGAGGAAGTGGCAAGCCCAGGTCAGTAATGTTCTCAGGTTAAAAGGCTCTGATGAGCAAAAGCACACCTCATTTGACCCCAAGCCTGTATCCATGCTTGAAACCTTGGAGTGGGTGGAGGGGAAGATTGGCAAAAGTCTCTAACCCTTTTGTCCTGTTCATCAACGCAGATAGAGTGGACTAGGATAGATAGTTGTTGTTGTTGTTGTTGTTGTGTACCATCGAGTCTGAACTGACTCGTAGTTTACCTTCCAGTGGGTTTTCCGAGGCAATAAACCACATGATGGGAGATTACCTATCTTTCTCCCTTGGAACAGCTGCTGGATTAAAACCACATGCCTTTGGGTTCTTACCACTAAGGTTCCATATATGGTCAGATTGCATTTGTTTAGACAATCATTACATTTCTTCTAGGAATTACACTGAAGTTAACTCAGAATAATGTTTTTCCTAAAGACACTGAAATTTAACATTAGACATTTTGAAACTTTCATCCTATTTTTATGTTAAAATTAAAGTTGAGTTGTTGTAGGCTTAGATGATGGATGAGACTATTAGCATGTAAATTTTATAAGGATGCAGATCTTTATTAAAAAAATTCCATTTTATAGACCCGTGTCCATAGGCACCATTGAATCAACTCCAATTCATACAGCTCCATTTTTAACAAACCAGATGCTACCCAATCCTACACCATCTTCACACTTGATGCTGTGCCAAATCCCTTGTTGAACTAGATATAATTCACAAATTTTAAGTGTATAATTCAATGACTGTTGACTATTAGTCCTGTGGTGAGGACCTTTGTTTTCTTAATATTGAGATGCAATCCATACCAAAAACTGCAGTCCTTGTTCTTTTGCAGCAAGCATTTCATATCCTGCTCGCTTTCAGCAAGTGAGGTTGTGTCATCTGCATAACTCAGAGATTGAAGCTTTCAATGATTTAAAGTTGCTTAGATCAACAATCAACATCCATGATACCAGCAGCCAGGAAATCAAGAGACACATTGTATTGGGCAATTCTGCTGTCAGGAACCTCTCCAAAATGCTAAAAAGCAGTGATGTCACTTTGAAGACTAAGGTGCACCTGATTCAGGCCATGGCCTTCTCAATCACCTGCAATACCCAGAGAGCTGGACAATGAATAAGGATGATAGAAGAATAATTTATGCCTTTGAGTTGTGATGCTAGAGAAGAGTACCGAACATCCCATGAACTATCAAAAGAACAAACTGATAGATTTTGGAAAAAGTGCAACCAGAGTGCTCCTTGGAGGCAAAGATGACAAAGTTTGTCTTTCATACTTTGGACATGTGGCTAGGTAAGGCTATTCCTTGGAGAGGGACATCAAACTTGGAAAGGTGGAAGGTCAGCAAAGGACAGGAAGACCCCTAACCAGATGGACTGACGTTGTGACATCAGCAATGAGCTCTTCAGCAGTGAGTCCAAGATGATGAGGGATAAGGCAGAGTTCAGGTCAGCTGTATATAAGGTCCCTATGAGTCGGTTGTACTCTACTCGATGGCATTTAATAACAACAATTCAATGAGCTTTGACACGTGTGTTCAGTTGTGTATCTACTCCAAGAATCATAACAAAATAATCCCTCATGGACCTGCCAGCTAGTCCTTTCCCAGCTCCCTGCCTGGCCAACCATGTTTGGAGGGTGAGGATTTTTGTCTGTTTTGTTAACTGCTCTGCCTTCAGCCTCTGTAACAGTCTCTGACACATACTAGGAGCTTAATAGGGCTTTGTTGGTTGACTTAAAGCAATCTTGAATAGTTAACTTCAGTACATGACTTTGAATTTAGTAGATCTCTCAAACTCTCATTTGTTGTAGAGTTGGAAAGTAACTCTTGGCAGAACTCCAGCAGGTTTTCAAAGGGAGCAAATTACACAGGAAGAGATATCCCGTCTTTCACCAGAGGAGCAGCTGGTGGACTTGAACCGTATGTGTTGGCAGTTCAGCTCCTTATCATTAAGCCAAAAGAACAAATATGTCTTTGCAAAAATGCAGCCAGGGTGCTCCTTGGAGGCAATGATGGTGAAGCTTTGTCTCACATACATTGGGCATGTTATTAGAAAGGCCAGTCCTTGGGGAAAAGCATGTTGCTGGGAAAGGTGGAGGGTCAGTGAAAGAGAGAATGACCCCCAACAAGATGGATTGACACAGTGACTATAACAACGGGCTCATCTATTTCACGAATGATGATGATGGCACAGCATGGAACAGGGTCAGATCTGTTGTTCATAAGGTCAATATGAGTCATAGTTAACTCAACAGTACCCAACAAAAACAAAACAACAACTTAGCAGGTAATTTTTTTATTGGACGAAGAACTCCTAAAAATTTTCCCTGGTTCTTTCTGCTAGTTTCTCAGGCTCATCATTGTTCAGGAGGCTCTGCCACTTCGCAGCTCATCTCCAGATGAGGCCTGTGCATTTAGATGTGCAGTCACCACATCCATGGAGAAAGGAGAAAGAGCAGAGAGCTTCCAGCACCTCACCATAACCAGGGGCCAACATAGAGCAGGTGTGTTTCAAGAGCAGCAGCTGGGAGTGGGGGCTTTAGATAAAACTGGGAGAAACTTAGAGGAGGATTGATGTTAGTGTGAGGAGAAGCTCAGAGTTTATAGGGAGGTAAAGTCATCAGTGGAATGTATTTGACTCCAGGTATGCTCTAGGGATTCAAGCGAGTGCTCACAGGTGCCCACAAGTACAGGCCCATGTGCCCCCTGTGACTGCTTCCCATCAGGCCTGTCCTTGTGAGACCTGGAAAGAAGTATAGGGCCAGTGCCCAGTATAGACAATTCCCAGACAAGCAGAGACTGATATGATGACCTGCTAGCAGTGGAGAGCTTTTTTACTGATTTGAGTATGTACGAGTTCAGTGTAGGAAACCCTATTTGATAGAGGAGCCATACTTCTTTTTAAAATTAATGTTATTTGATTTAGAATTTGCATATAATAAAACACATGCATTTAATGTATAGTTTGATAAGTTTTGATGGAAGTATACACCAGTTCAACGTCACCACCGAGTCAAAGTAGAGAACATTCTAGTCATTGCTAAGGTTCTCTCATATCCATTCCAAGATGGCCCGCCACAGACAGCCCAGCCCCTGCCCTGCTCTGTACCACCTTGGAGAGATTTGTCTCTGCTGGAGTGTATAGAATGGCACTCTGGTGGCCTCGTCTAAAGTGGATATTGCTGCTAACCCAATGGTGATGCCTCTTTGCTGGTTTGAATGTACCAGCGGCTACAAGAGGAAAGACTGACAATCTCCTTATGTGACGTACAGCCTCTGAAAAACCTTGGAGGGTCAGCTAGTTCTGACTTGATGGTAATGACAGAGAAAAAAAATATACAGAATATGATCTATATCCTGTTAACATTTATGTTGTTTTCTTAAAGGTTTATGTGTGTACATGTACACATACACACATTATATATATATATGTGTGTTGTTGTTGTTAAGTGCTGTCGAGTCATAGACGACTCATAGCGACCCTATGAAAGAAAGACCTGAGCACTGTTCATAAAATTTACAGAGGCAAGCCATTTTGAAAAGGGGATGCCACTCCTGCTTCCAACATATATATATACACACATATATGTATATATATTTATTTCTATTTATATGTTTATATTTATTTCTGTATATATGTATACATATATACATATATAGAGAGAGAGAGAGAGAGAGAGAGAGATTGTGCCATTGAGTTGGAAGCAACCCACAGCTGACCTTCCAGTGGGTTTTCAGAGGCTGTAACTTGCATGGAGGATATTGTCTGTCTTTCTCCCATGGAGCGGCTGGTGGATATGAAACGTCTTTGGGTTGGCAGTGCAGCTCCTTACCCCCTAGGCCACCAGAGCTCCCAGATAGGCAGTCTCCTTCCATGTGATTAACCTCTGTAAACCCACTGGAGGCTCAGCTATGACTTGGTTCCCATTTCATGGCACGTAATAGCAACAACAACAATGTGTCCATATATATACATGTATGTATTTTAATAAAACCACACCTGGAGGTGTATATATAAGTACATAATTATGTTTACACAGAGATGTATACCTATACATATATATAATAGAAATCATTTTATTAGATATGTACAGTTAGATACCTCTGGTGGCATAGTGGTAAGAAGTTGTGCTGTCACCCCACCAGCTGCTCGGCAGGATAAAGATGGGCAGTATCCTCCTCTGCAGTTTACACCCTCTGAAAACTCACTAGAGGGTCAGCTATGTGTTAATTCTGACTTGACAGCACACAACAACAACATCAGCATATATAGTTCAGAAAACTGATTTTTCTTAACTATGGCCATAGTTACCTGAGTTGAGAATTTTATATTTTACTTTTTACCCCAGGTAGATAATGTTTCATTTCTTGTGTTTTGGGGCTTCATGAAAAAGTGCAATCAGCCCCACACCTTTTCTCTCATCTCTTAGGCTTGGATACAGGTCCAGGGTCCTGTCCTCTGTGCTGCTGACACCTCTTGGCCTAAAGCAGCTACATGTCCTGCTTGAACCTCCTAAAAGCAAGGGATCCTCAGAGTTTCCTGATGTCTAGTACTCCTATCCTCTACTGCCTTTCTGCCACCACCTTTGCTCCCTGACCCTTCCTGTCTCTCCCCAGGACCTGGCGACTCCACAGGCCTTTGCCCGGAACCCATCCAGGGTGTGGGAATTCTACCATTACCGACGGGAGGTCATGCAGAGCAAGGGCCCGAACCCCGGGCACCTCGCCATTGCTGAATGTGAAGCCCGGCTGCACAGACAGGGCCGGCGGGTGGTGGTCATCACCCAGAACATCGATGAGCTGCACCGCAAGGCTGGCACCAAGAACCTTCTGGAAATTCATGGTGAGGGACCTCGACCTTGCCTGGGGAGGAGAACCAGACTTTAAACTCAGCCTGCCATTTCAGCCTGATTCCTAACCTCTCCCTCCTTCCCCCTGGATCCCTGTTCTTTCCTTACAGTGCAGTGACATCTAGCTTGTGGCACCCAGCAGAACTGTGTGGCCCTTGAACTGCTGCCTTTGGCAGTGGGAGGACCACTCTGGCACAGTCTCTTCACTCTCTTTGACCTGGGTGATTGTTTTTGAGTACAGTCCAGTAGGAACCAACCCATAGCTGACCCTCCAGTGGCTTTTCAGAGTCAGTGAATTTTACTGGAGGAAATTGCCCTTCCTTCTCCCATGGAGCAGCTGGTGGATTTGAACCACATACCTTTGAGTTGGCAGCCCAGTTCCTTACCACTAAGCTATGGGTCTGTACAGACTTGATGGTACACAACAACCACCACCCACAGATTCTTTACATCCTTGCTTCTCAAAGTGCAGCCTGAGAACCAGTGGCCTGGAAAGGCCCTGGGAGCCCTAGATCCCAGGGGGCAGAAATGGTGGCAGGAGGTATGTTGAGGGTGTCTTCTCTGAAACAATTGTCTAGCTTGGTAAAGGGATACAGCAAGTTTGGGCTGTTGTCCAGCTGGGATCTCGTGGGACTGGGTGCCTTAAAAAGTGTTAGTGGCTGAACACAGATTCCTTCTCATGAGCGTTTGCATTTAGAGAGTCTATAAAAGGTCAAACTCAAGGAATGCATTTTCAAACTGAATACATAACAAAATTTGCCACTTTAAAGTGTATAATCCAATTATATCAGTTTGCCTTCCAAGCTGTACAACCATCTCCACTCTTTCCCAAAAGTTTCCATCCCCCCAAAAAGAAGCTCAATGCCCAATCAAGCAGGAAGTCCCCATTTCCTCTCTCCAGGTCCCTGGGGTCCTCATATCCATGTGTTTGTGGCTTTGTGTATTCTTGTCAGTTCACGTAAGTGGGATCACATGCTCACTTATTTGTCCTTTTGTGCTTGACTCCTTGCCCTTAGCATTATGTTTGTCTCAGAAGAATTTCTTTCTAGTTGTGCAATTTCCAGAAGCCGTGACCCAGTGGGGAATGTTGTGTGTTTTTCTGTGTGTGCAGCAAAGCTGCCTGTTTGTGCCTAGGTCATCCCAGTAAGGAGTGTTGAGCAAACTTCAGCTGCTGCCGCCCAGTCTCTTGTGTCTCGAGCAGCCTGCAGTCCCCAGCTATGAATCAGCTGTCTTCTTGCCCCTACTTGAGCTGGGTCTGGGCCGCTTTCCATGAGGCACTTTGTGTTCCCCTGCATATAAGATAGACAATGCTATTTGTCATGCTTCAAAGGTTTAAAATGGCAAGGTTGATACCCTTCTTTTAGAGACAATTTAAGGGTTAAATAAGATAATAATGCATCTGGTTGCACGCAGTGGGGAGAGCGGTGCAGAGGGAGGTTGTGGGTAGTAGCTGGATGGCAGTGGCAGAATGTTGGCTCCCACCGTACAGAACCTTATTGGCAAGAGAACATCTCTTCCTCGATGTGCCTTCGAGCCCCCAGAAGCGTCATGAAGTCTGAAAAGTACTCCACCCTGGCCCATGTGGACTGCCTGCCTGATGTAGTCCATGTCAAGAACCCCTCGGCCCAGTAGAACGCCTTGAAGGAGGAGTAGGCCCCTGGAACACCCTCTCCATTGAGGAGAAATTGGAGCTGTACTGCCTTAAATTCAGTGAGAGCTTTGCCAAGATGAACAGGAGCATGAGTGGGTAGAAGACAGGGTACCTCGCTCTTCATCAGCCTCACCACATTCATTGTCATGTGGGAGAAACACCAAGTGGATGGGCTCATCACATACCCTTCTGACAAGGACTGGGTGGCTGTGCAGACCCGGCGCATGTTGGACCTGAAGGTCAGTCCGATCGAGGGCTTCCCTGCCATGTGGGGCTATAACAAGAATGAATGGGAAGAAAGAAGGCGCCATTTGTCCTGCTCAAACCTTCGTTTGCTTGTCACCAGCACACAACTCAGTATATTTACTCGATACCTAAAGGTAATACAGTGGCAGTGCTAATAAACACCTGTTCATATGCATGAAAAAAGATAATAATGCAGATTTTTGTTGTGGTTAGTTACTGTCCAAGCAACCATGATTCATAGAGACCCTATGATCTCAGCCTTGCCCTCCCTGTGCCATCTTCACAATCTCCATCATGTTCCAGCCCATTTGTTACAGTCACTGTATCGATCCATCTGGTGAGGATCTTCATTCTTACACTGGCCCTTGACCTTTCCCAGCAGCAGGTCCCTTTGTAAGGACTGGCTCATCCTGATATCATGTCCAAAGTGTGTGAGACCACGCTTTACCTTTATCCTTACCTCTAGGGAGCACCCAGCTTGCACTTCTTCAAAGATAAACTTGTTTGTTCTTTTAGCAGTCCATAAGATAGTCAGTACTCCTCTCCAGCAACACAGTTCAAAGTCATCACTTCTGCCATTCTTATCCGTTGTCCAGCTTTCAAATGCATAGGCGCAATTGGAAAGGCCGTGGCTTGAAATGGACACACCTTAGTCTTTAAACTGACATCCTTGCTCTTTAGAACTTTGGAGCGGCCCTTGCCAGACGATTTCCCCAGTTTTAAATGATGCGTCTTTATCTCCTAATGATAGTAAATATTTGTTGTTTCTTGGAATTTTTTTCTAAGTGGCAAGTTTGATATTGAATCTCTCTTATTCTTACCAAAAGCTGACAGTGGGAATGGTTTTCAGACCTCCAGGTCTCATTTTCCTCTTCAGTGGTCCTTACATGGTTCATTGGTTGAAATAGCCAAGGGTTACGTTTATCCAGTCAGGCCACTGAAGCTAGCCATCAGGTCACCATTCTTTGGTGATCATTGTTCTCCCTTGAGTTGGTGCAGGAAAAAGCCGTGACAACCATGTTACAGACGTCATCTAGTCACTGTGACGGGGAGGACACTAACCAGTTTTCAGAGATGTTGAAGTGGGGGAGAGGCCATTGGTAGCACTGATCACGATCTATGAGCTCATGAAAGCAGAGCTTCCCAGGGCTGGAGGTGATGGCGGCCGCAGCTTCCTCGTTCTTGCCCTGCCGCACCACCTCTTCCTCTCCCAGCTGTGCTTCGCTCTCCAGGTCAGAGTGACAAAGACACTTAGGAAGGTGGCATCTGGCAGCTCCAGACTCGCTGTAAATTCACCCCCTCCCAGAAGATGAGGCGTTGCTCAGACCACCCACTCACCTTGGACCGATTGAACACTATTGGCAGAGGATGGGCATTGTGGTGGTCTGCCCTGGTGTCTTGGGCTTGGGTTTCAACTCCATTAGCTCAGCCTAGACTGGAGTAGAGTGATTCCTCAAAGAAGGACTGCTGGACAGGAAGAAACAATATATGCCCACTGTGATGTGTGAGGAGTCCCGGAAATTACAGATAGTGAACATACTCAGCTGCTAATCAAAAGGCCTGAGGTTCTAATCCATGTCGAGGAGCCTATGAACAGAAGTCTGGCAGCCTACCTGTAAAAAACTAGCCCCTAAAAAACTTTATGAAGCACAGTCCTGCTTGGACACATATGGTTTTGTTATGAGTTGTTATAAACTGGATGACAACTGGTGTTTGGTAGGTGAAATGCTCAGTACAGGGCTGGCCATGTGGTATGTGGTTACCTGTATTGCAGCTGCCACGATTGCTGAATGATTGCCACAACTGATTGCTAAATGGTATTAACAACTTATTGTTAATACAATCGGGTTAATGTTAGCAATTATTTTCTTGATTAGACAATTACAAGCTTACTTGTCTTAATGTGCTTCACTTGATTGCACTTTGCACATCTAACATTTGTTTACAAATTTAGAGGCTGTGATAGGCCTGCGCCAAGCAAGGCTGTTGGTGCCATTTTCCCAGCAATAAGTCCTTGCTTCACGTCTGTGCATCACATCTTGGTAAATAAGTATTTCAAACTTTTTCATTAATCATGCACATTTAATAGTCTACAGTACAGTGTTAACACAACTTTTATAAACATTGGGAAATACAAATGTTCCTTTAACTGCCATTATTATGATGATTGCTTTTAATACCATGGTCTGGAACTGAATTCATACCATCTCCAAGGTATGCTTGTATTTATATATTAGGCAGCTTTTCGTGCTTTCTTAAATCGAAACTTTGCAAACATATCCCAAGCAATTGAACCTTTACCAATGATTTGCTGAATATGTCACATTCTTACCTTGGGCTGGGCTGCATCATCCCTGTTGTCCTCTTTGTTTCCCCCAGAGTCTCTCCGGGGTCACTTGGTAACACATTAGCCATGTATTATTTCATCTGTCTCCCTCCTCTCTGCATTGTAGACTCCTCAGGGACAGGTGTCCTTGGTGTTTCAGTAGGCTCTCATGCCCTTGCAATTTCCATTCTTTCTAAATAGGCGTTTTTGCTGCATTGATGTATCAAAGTTATTCTGTATTCTTTTAAGCATGGAGATGATCTCTCTCGGTTACACTAATTTCTGGACTTGCCTAACTTGTGTTTTTCAGGTAGCTTATTTAAAACTCAATGCACCTCTTGTGGAAATGTGGCAGAGAATTACAAGAGTCCAATTTGTCCAGCTTTATCAGGAAAAGGGTAATTATACTGCACTGCAGAATAAATGCATGTTGTTTTCTCATTGGAATTGAACACAAATGTGAGGAAGCAGAAAGGTAACCTAAGACTCCCAGGAATGTTTATAAATAGCCTGATACAGTTGAGACATAGCATCAAATAAACATAATCACAATTTACAGTGTTAAGCTAAAACCACAAGATACCAAACACTGTACAGTATCATCCCTACTTTGTATTTAAACTGACAAGATACTGTGTTTGTATAGAAGTAAATGGACCAAAAGTAAATACAACAAAATGTTAGCAGGGTTATTGGAAGTGGTAGGATTAGGAGTCATTTTATAAAAAATTTGTTACATAAATATGTTTATAAATTTAGCCATTTTAAACTGACCATGTTGTGCAGCCTTCATCGCTCTCTATGGTACTTTTGTGCAAATGCTGTGTGGTGTGTGTCTGCACATTGTGCAACCACCTTGCCATTATTAGTTCCTATGAACATTATGTGTGTGTATAAGTTACACGGAGCCATTATACAGGAAATATGTTGTTTCCATCACTCCAAACTGAAATCCAGTACTTACTGGGTAATTTTGTTTCTTTGTATCTTCATAATTTTTATAACATTTCTATGATGAACATTGCTGTTATAATTAAGGAAAAGTGAAGAGTAGATTCAGAATATTGAGAATAGTATTGAGAGCAAGTTTTACATTCATACAATAAAACTGTACAGTATACAGGTTATGTGGTAATTATCTTTTCAAAGGGCTCAGATTATAGGGAAGTGTTACCACGAGAACTGGTGGTACAGTGGTTACGTTCATGGCTGTTGATTTAAGGTTGGCAGTTCAAATCCACCTGCCATCTTGCGGAAGAAAGTTGTCGCAGCTTTCATTTCCAAGATTAGTATTAGGGGTGCTAGATCTTCTAGGCTTTACTGCAGGATTGCTTTGAGTTGAAATTGACTCAATGGCAGTGGGTTTGTGGTTAATATAAGACAAAACAGGACTCTCCACCTCAGCACACACCTTGCCATTCTCTACTCCCACCCACATACAGATTACCTACTTTACCATATAACCACCAGTGATTAATTGTTTTTCATCCTTCTAGGACCCTTAAATTACAATGCAATACACTTTTTGCTGTTGAGTTGATTCCAGTTCATAGTAACCTAATAGAACAGAGTTGAACTGTCCCATAGAGTTTGCAAGGCAGTAGTCTTTATAGACATGGACTGGCACATCTTTCTCCCAGAGAAGCTTTTGGGTTTGCACTGTTGACCTCTAGTTAATAAAAAGATGCTTAGCTGCTGTACCACCAGGGCTCCTCCTCCTATGTTATCACTTACTTGCCTGGCAGTATATGTTTCAAGACTTCTAAGTAATAAGGGCTAATATGTTATCAATTGACATGTTTCAACAAATGAATGCAACTCAGATTGTGTTTCTAGTCTATGCCAAGAAATTTGGAAGACAGTTACCTGGTCAACTGACTAGAAAAGATCCATATATGTTCCTATTCCCAACAGAATGTGGAAATTTTCAAACAAATTTCATCACATGCTAGTAAAGTCTTGCTGAAGATTATCCCAAAACAACTGGAATAATTGGATAGACAACTGGTAGAAAGTCAAGATAAATTCAGAAGAGGCTGTGGCAGAAGAGATATTATTGCAGATATCAGATGGATGTTGGCTTAAAGCAGAATACCAGAAAGATATTTACTTGTATTTCATTTACTCTGCAAATGTATTTGACTGTGTGAGTTATATGAAGTTGAGAAGAATGGGAATCCCAGAACATTTAACTGCCTATGTGAAACCTATACCAAACCAAGAGGTTGTTGTCTGAATGGAGCAAGAGAACACTGCATAGTTGGAAATGAAGAAATGTGTGTCAGGGTTTTATCCTTTTTCCATACCTATTCAATCTGTGAGCAGATCATTTGAAAAGCTAGACCATATGAAGAATGTGGCGTCAGGATTGGAGAAGGACTTATCAACAACCTGTGTTATGCAGATAAAACAATCTTGCCTGCGATAAGTAAAGAGGACTTGAAACACTTGCTGCAGAAGGTCGAAGACTTCAACTTTGAATATGAGTTACATCTCAACATCAAGAAAATTAAATTCTTACCACTGGACCAGTAGGCAACATCATGATAGATGGAGAAAAGATTGAAGTGGTCACCTATTTAATTTTCTTTGGATCAACAATCAGAACTCAGGGTAACAGCAGTTAAGAAATCAAAAGATGTGTTGCATTAGGAAAAATCTGTTAAGGACCTCTCCAGAGTGCTAAAGAGCAACAATATAAGTTTAAAGACTAGGGTGTGTCTGATGCAGGCCATGCTGTTTTCATTTGCTTCCTATGCATCTGGAAGTTGCACAGTGGATAAGGATGACAGATGGAAAAATTGATGCCTTTGAATTGTGGCATTAGAGAAAAGTGCTGAATATCTCATGTGCTGGCATAAGAATAATCAAGTCTGCTTGGAGGAAGTGCAACCTGGGTGCTCCTGAGAAGCAAGCATGGTGAAACTTGGTCTCACATACTTTGGACATGTTGTCAGGAGGGACTAGTCCTCAGGAAATGATGTCATGCCAGGAAAGATGGAGGATCAGGGGAAGAGGAGAAGACCCTCAACAAGGTGAATTCACACAGTGACTACAACAGTGCACTTGAGCATGAACAGAGATTGTGAAGGTCGTGCAGGGTAGGCCAAGGTTCGGATCTGTTGCTCGTAGGGTCTCTATGCATCGTAATCAACTCAGCGACACCTATAGCAATAGCAACAACATGTTATCAAGAAACCTACTGTTGTTGAGTGGGTTCTAAATCATAGAGCAATTTTTAGTTAGGAATCTTGAGCCATGTTCTGTCAGGCAAATAATCAGGTTTATTGGGTTGCTTTGTTTCTTTCCTTTGTACCAATGGCATTCTTTTTCTACTAATATTTACTTCAGTGCTGCAGAACCAGAAACCGAAGATGCTAGAATCCCAGTTGAACAGCTTCCCCGGTGGGTAAAAAGCTTTCATCTCTATTTGGTGTTTCAGAGTGTAGAAAAAGAAAAATTTGGAGTAAAAAGTTGAAAGTGTATTTGGTGAGATGCCTCTTTAAGTCAAATGCAGAAATACATGAGGCCTAAACTTGGGAGATCAACTAGGTTAGAAGGATATATGAGCTGCTTCTTTGAAATCCCTTTTGCTCTGTGGATGAGGCATTATTTGAGGTCTAAAAGGTTCTGAAGTTGCTTTGTTACTGCAATATGCATCAAGGTTGGCATCTGTAATGTAACTCTCAGAAAATGTTCATTACTATCATCAACACTACTTTTGGTATTTATAATCCTGGCATTAAGGAGGCAGTAGAAGACCTTTCAGAGTGAAATTATCAAACACAATTTTGGTTGTGTGCATGTAAACAGCCCTTCTTGTTTATTGTTATGTGACATCGAGTCACCTCCGACTCATAGCTACTCTGTAGCTCTGTACCCTGTCCTATCCAGAGCTGATCTCACTATCTGTGACATAACTTAGGAATACTTTAATGGAAGTCTTTCAAAACAGAACACTAAAAATGATGATTTCAAAATTTTTCAAGGAACGCTAGTTTCACATGGTGTTGGTATTACTTGGGGGGAAAAAAACCCCAAAACCCAAAACACCTATTCAGAATGTGGAAACACTACATTGAATAAAGTTAAAAAGGATCATTTCTTTTGAAGGACTTCTCAGAGCATTTAATATGCTGAAGTCCATTGTGATTTTCCATTAAAGGACTATGAATTCGCTCTCTATTTAAGTGCATCTTCACCTCCTTCTTTTTTCTTAATAAGCATTTCATCAGTAGTTTCTAAAGTTTCAATTAGAAAGCACCTTTGTTAGATTCCTGAGTATGAGACTAATATGATGCAGTAGTATTTGGGGGAGATTATTTTAGAAGATATATCTAAGAAAACCTTCAGCAAGAACAGAGTGAAAGATGAGAGGTTTTTAGTAATCAGCCCTTAAGAAGCTAGCTCCACAAGGCAAGAGAGAGAAGTTAATGTGAGACAAAATGTAAAAGGCCATTCAGGAAGCTCGAGGATGGCCAGGACATCGGGGCCAGGCTGAGTGTGACATTACTCCCAGGCCCACCCTCTGTGAGCACAGGTTAGCCAGTGGATGTAGTGAATTGCCAGGAAACATAAGGCTGAGAGTGAAAGTGGGTAACAGTGCCTCGCTTAGCTGAGACACATCTGTGAGCCAAGTAACTCAGAGTAAACAGACCAAAGAAAAGTTAAGAGAGTTACAGTTATAGCTTCGTATCCAGGTCAACTTCATATGGGCCGGGAGGAGGAGGGATAGGGGACACAGAGGCCTACAGGTGATCTCTCTGGACAGATAGGCCTCAAGGCTGCTTGGTCGTCCCCTGGTCCACCTGGAAGACCTGTGGCCAGGGCAGGGCCTGACTCAGCTTGATGATGACCTTCTTCCAGGTGTGAAGAGGCTGGATGTGGAGGTCTGCTGCGGCCACACGTTGTATGGTTTGGAGAAAATCTGGATCCAGTCATTCTGGACAAGGTGGATCAAGAACTCGCCCTGTGTGACTTATGTCTAGTGGTAGGTCATGCTGTCCCAAAGCCTGATTTTCCAAACCCAGGAGGATGGGCGGGACATTTGTTGTCCCCTCCCTCTGCCCTCCATTCCCTTCTCTTCTCTCCCTTCCTCCTTGCCTTCTCGCCTTTCCTCCTTTTATTTCTTCTTTCTTACCTTCCAAAATATGTGGAGAAGTTTTGTATTACAAAAATCATGAAGAAAAATTGATCTTAAAATAGGAACAGTACAAGACTATACCCTTTATTCTTGGGCCTTTCAAAGCCTTTTCAGCCCTTCAAAATAGAATGAACATGATATTGGTTCTGATTCCTTAGTGCAAAAGTTGAAGAAAATAGAGCATAGTATGAAGGGGAAGTGAGAGCGCATCCACTATTTCAGGTTCCAGAAATAGTAGCTATTTCAGGCTTGCTTCTACGCCAAGGTTAACACCTGTGGGCCAAGTCTGTTCTGCCAACAGTTTTTGTAAACAAAGTTTTATTGGAAAACACCTATGGCCATTTATTTACACATTGTTACACAAGAGTGGTAAAATTGAATCATGTGACAGTCCAAAAAACCTAAACTACTTACTCCCCGGCCCCTGAGCAGACCTGCCGAAGCTATGTAGTGCCTCTATAGGGCACAGCATTGGATTTTCCAAGCTGTGAATCTTTACCGAAGCACATTACCAGAGTAGCTAAGATTTGAAGCCCCATCCTCTTTATTTACACCCAAGTACATCTATGGGTGACTAGAATGCAAAAGTTGGGAATAGAGAAGTAAGATCAGTAGTTGGAAAACATGAAATTGGTGACAGAAATGAAGCTGGAGATAGAATGATAGAACTTTGCACAATTAATGATTTATTCATTGCACATTCGTTTTATAAGAAACATAAATGCAGGCTATTCACATGGATTTCACCTGATGATAGGAATAGGATTCAGATCACTTACACATGTGGAGAGAACCACTGGAGAAGCTCAGTATCAGCTGTGAAAAGTAGGCCACGTGCTGATTGTGGAACAGACCACCAACTACTCATATGCAAGTTCGAGCTGAGTCTAAGGAAAATTAAATCACATATACAGGAAACTCTCTCTCTCTCTCTCTCTCTCTCTCTCTCTCTCTCT